GCTCTCATTCACAAGAGATGGGTGCTCACTGCGGCTCATTGTATCACCCAAGATGGAACGGAGAAAGCCCGCAGCAGGGAAGCCTTTCTGATCTATCTCGGGAAACACTATCGAAATGACGCACAGGATGATGCTTTGGTGCAGAAGAAGAAGGCAATAGATGAACCCTCTGATATCTCCTTAGCAACTCATATCCGTTTCAATTTGATTAATGTTATACTTGCAGGTATCACACATCTTCCTCCATGAAGACTTCGACAGACAGAACTTTGACTCCGATATTGCACTCTTGCAACTGGAAGAAGATGCCATGTTAACAGAGCGAGTGCAGTTGGTTTGTCTGCCAGAACACTCTGATATATCTGATACAAGCTCCAAGAGCGGATTGATATGATCGGTGAGACATGAAGGATTTTGTACGTATATGTGAAGTTGATTTTTGTTTCATGGACTTATCCAAATGGTTCGTGGCAGGTGGCTGGATGGGGTTCAGATGGCACAGGTGTCCTCCCGAATGTACTGATGGAAGTGGAGCTCCCAATTTTATCTAATAGAGAATGTCGTAAAGACACTATTCTCTTCACAGGGGACCCACACGTCACTCGTACCCTCACTACGAACTTGTATTGTGCCGGGTATGACAGAAACACACCCCTTTCAGGTACCGTTTCAACCAGCAATGAAAGCGTAAATTTCCTGATTTATTTAAAACTTGATTGTAACTAGAGTCTGCAGGGAGTCGCCGCCGTAACGGCGCCGTTTCTCAGTAGACACAGGGTTCAGTATGAAGATGCAATGTAAATAAATAGGCATTTTAATCATCATATCCCAATCCCACAAGATCTAGTCTAGTGAATCGTTCAGAGTGTCGAGAAGGTTGTTTCCAAAAGATCCTTCAAATCTCTATCTCCCAATCAAGACCATGAACAACAATTGAAAATTACTTGTGCAATGGGAATAGAAAGAGCTAAAGCTGGCAGTCGTGAGAAGGGCACAACCTAAACCTCAACATTTATGTGAGCTGTTATTCCACTTAGCACAAATCAAGATCAACTCATTCATTTCCTTTAAAGTGGAACGCAAAAAATACAAGAATACGCTTGCTTGGAAACACGTAAATCTAAGACCACACATTTGAAGGAAGTTTTCATGATTAAGATGCTACACAATTGGGTTTTTCTGGGTTGGGGGGGGGGGGAATGAATGTAGTATCCAAAAATGCTATTTTTTCCTTAAAAATGCACAAAATTGCACGCCCTGCCTCACTAAAGGCTTCCAGGATGCTAGCGACCTAGACCAAAGGAACTATAGGGAACGTATTCATAACTAGCGAGTTTATTTGCCCTTCGGGCAAACAAACTCGCTATGGTCGCGCCTTCGGCGCTCCATTACCTTGGATAGTGATTAATTCATTTATCCTTTGCAAAAATGCAAACACGTATTTAAAGAACGTCCCTATTGAAATACGTGACATATCGGAGGAAAGTCTTAATTTTTATCAAAATCCTTATTTCTTTCATTTCTTGTGTGCCTAACTTGAAATATTTTCCTGTGTACTTTTTGTAAGAGTGGAGAATACATTTTGAAATACTTCCCGCCAATAATCTACGCTAAGGAAACATATTTCAAAAGTAGGATTTTTCCTGCACTCAGCCATTAAACAGGTACTTCTGAGGTAAGTTTAAATTTTGCGTCTCTATTTCGTTGGATCAAAAAAAAAATCACGAAAGTGAGACTGAAAAAAGTGCCCTAATGGGTTTAAACGGAAATTTTATTTCTTTTGAAATGTAGATTCAGGGAACTCCATGCCACCCTGATACAGCCATAAACGTTTCCCCTTTTTACTGGCAGAAAAAATATATTTAGAAAAGCGACCCACCCAAAAGCTGTCCTCTAAGGAGACGTATAGAAAAGTTTAATTTTTCCTTAAATCAACATCACGTCAGTGATGCGTGCGCCACCTTCTTTTCCATGTCTGCCCGGTGAACTACATGCCCATAAAGTTTCATTATGCGTTTGCCCTTTTCGCTGGTGAAAAAACATGTTTGGAAAAGCCGACCCCCCCAAAAGCTATAGCCGGAGGGGATGCCACATTAAAGCTGAATACTCCCTCAGCTCAATAATATCATGTCACTAATACGTGTGCCAAGTTTCACGTTTCCATTTCTGTCCAATTCGCCACAACAATTTTTTTTTCAAAACATCGCACCTTCAAAAAATTCCCCCTGGGGTGTATCGAGACTTAACATTTTTATTTAACGCTTTGTCTCAGTAGTCACATTATATACGTGTGCCAAGTTTCACCTTTCCATTTCTGTCCAATTCGCCACAACAATTTTCTTTTCAAAACATCGCACCTTGAAAAAATTCCCCCTGGGGATGTATCGAGACTTAACATTTTTATTTAACGCTTTGTCTCAGTAGTCACATTCATGCGAAGTTTCAGTTTTCCATGTTCATCAGTTTAACTTATGCAAAAACATAAGTTAAAAACATCTCCTTTTGAAATTTTTGCTCCCAGGGCATTCACTTCTAAAGTCGGAATTTTTCTGCAGCATCTCAATACGTAGTTATGTACGAAGTTTCATCCACACTAGCTCAATGCGCCAGGACAAAAAAAAATACTTGAAAACGTCGCCTCAAAAAAATATGCCCCCTGGCATGGATCTATAATTTTTCATTTTTCCTGAACTGATCGTCTTGGTAGGCACCTCCATGCCAGGTTTCAGCTTTAAAAAACATAAGTTGAAAACATCTCCCTTTGAAATTTGTGCCCCCAGGGCATTTACTTCTAAAGTCGGAATTTTTCTGCAGCATCTGAATACGTAGTTATGTACCAAGTTTCATCCACACTAGCTCAATGCGCCAGGACAAAAAATATGTGAAAACGTCGCCTCAAAAAAAATGCCCCCAGGCATGGATCAATAATTTTTCATTTTTCCTGAACTCATCGTTTTGGTAGGCACTTCCATGCCAAGTTTTAGCTTTCCATATCTCTCCGTTTTACTCAAGCAAAAATAATGTTATGGTGGGTAAATGAGTAACGGGATATGGGAGGCCAAAAAAGCCAAAAGAAAGCCAAGGAATGACTGAAAAAAAGGCCCTGATGGGTTTTAGCGTTTTTTTTTCTTTTGAAATATAGACTCAGGAAACTCCATGCCACCCAGTTTCAACCTCATACGTTTCCTCTTTTTGCTGGCTGAAAAAAAAATGTTTTCGGAAAAGTGACCCACCCAAAAGCTGCGCTCTGATCAGACGCACAAAAAAGTGGAATATTTCCTTAAATCAAGATCGTTTAAAATGTTACGACCTCAAGAAATATGAACCCCAAAACAACTTCGGAAATTTGAAGTTTGACATTTGAGCTCTGTGCGTTAAGGGTCACGTTATTGCCAAGTCTTAGCTTTCCGTGTGTCTCCGTTTGAAGCAAAGAAAACTATTTAAAAATATGTTCCCCGAAAGGTGCACCCCTATGGCATGCATCATCAAAGTAGAACTTTTACTGAACTCAGCATGCGAATAGCTACTTATGTCAGTCAGTCAGATAATGATTATTGTCCATACATAATAAAATTAGAATTTTTTCTTTACGCAGCTATCCATCAGGTACTTATATGCGAAGTTTTTATTTTTTAACTTTCATGCGCCCTCTGTTTTGCATGAATGTGACTACCGAAAAAAGCAGTTAAATAACAATGTTAAGTCTCGATACATGCCCTGGGGGAATTTTTTCGAGGTGCGATGTTTTGAAAAAAAAATTTCGTGCGAATTGGACAAAGATGGAAAGGTGAAACTTGGCACACGTATATAAGCGAAATGATATTAGAGAGCTGAGGGTGTATTCATCTTTCATCGTGTATCCCCTTCGGGCATAGCGTATGAGTGGTTCGGCTTTTCCAAATATGTTTTTTTCACCAGAGAATAGGGCAAACGTATGAGGTTGAAACGTTGTGGGCATGTAGTTCACTGATGATAGATTTCGGTTTTAAAAAATGGTACGTTTCAGTTAAAACGGCTCAAGGCACATATTTTGCAAAAGGCTTATTTTCATGAATTTTCTGATCCAGCAAAACAGAGGGCGCATGAAAGTTAAAAAAATAAAAACTTCGCATATAAGTACCTGATGGATAGCTGCGTAAAGAACAAATTCTAATTTTATTACGTATGGACAATAATCACTATCTGACTGACATAAGTAGCTATTCGCATGCTGAGTTCAGCAAAAGTTCTACTTTGATGATGCATGCCATAGGGGTGCACCTTTCGGGGAACATATTTTCAAATAGTTCTCTTTGCTTCAAACGGAGACACACGGAAAGCTAAGACTTGGCAATAACGTGACCCTTAACGCACTGAGCTCAAATGTCAAACGTCAAATTTCCAAAGAAGTTTTGGGGTTCATATTTCTTGAGGTCGTAACATTTTAAACGATGTTGATTTAAGGAAATATTCCACTTTTTTTGTACGTCTCCTCAGAGCACAGCTTTTGGGTGGGTCACTTTTCCGAAAACATATTTTTTTCCGCCAGCAAAAAGAGGAAACGTATGAGGTTGAAACTGGGTGGCATGGAGTTTCCTGAGTCTACATTTCAAAAGAAAAAAAAACCGTTAGAACCCATCAGGGCCTTTTTTCAGTCATTCCTTGGCTTTCTTTTGGCTTTTTTTGCCTCCCATATCCCGATACTCATTCACCCACCAAAACATTATTTTTGCTTGAGTAAAACGGAGAGATATGGAAAGCTGAAACTTGGCATGGAAGTGCCTACCAAAACGATGAGTTCAGGAAAAATGAAAAATTATTGATCCATGCCTGGGGGCATATTTTTTTGAGGCGACGTTTTCAAGTATTTTTTTGTCCTGGCGCATTGAGCTAGTGTGGATGAAACTTGGTACATAACTACGTATTGAGATGCTGCAGAAAAATTCAGACTTAAGAAGTAAATGCCCTGGGGGCACAAATTTCAAAGGGAGATGTTTTCAACTTATGTTTTTGCATCGGTTAAACTGATGAACATGGAAAACTGAAACTTTGCATGAATGTGACTACTGAGACAAAGCGTTAAATGAAAATGTTAAGTCTCGATACATCCCCAGGGGGAATTTTTTGAAGGTTCGATGTTTTGAAAAAAAGAAATTGTTGTGGCGAATTGGACAGAAATGGAAACGTGAAACTTGGCACACGTATTAGTGAGATGATATTATTGAGCTGAGGGAGTATTCAGCTTTAATGTGGCATCCCCTCCGGGTATAGCCTTTGGGTGGGTCGGCTTTTCCAAACATGTTTTTTCACCAGCGAAAAGGGCAAATGCATAATGAAACTTTGTGGGCATGTAGTTCACTGGACAGACATGGAAAAGAAGCTGGCGCACGCATCACTGACGTGATGTTGATTTAAGGAAAAATTAAACTTTTCTATATGTCTCCTTAGAGGACAGCTTTTAGGAGGGTCGCTTTTCCAAATATATTTTTCCTGCCAGCAAAAAGGGGAAACGTTTACGACTAAATCAGGGTGGCATGGAGTTCCCTGAATCTACATTTCAAAAGAAAAAAAATTTCCGTTTAAATCCATTAGGGCACTTTTTTCAGTCTCATTTTCGTGATTTTTTTTTTGATCCAACGAAATAGCGACGGAAAATTTGAACTTACCTCAGAAGTACCTGTTTAATGGCTGAGTGCAGGAAAAATCCTACATTTGAAATATGTTTCCTTAGCGTAGATTATTGGAGGGAAGTATTACAAAATGTATTCTCCACTCTTACAAAAAACACAGGAAAAGATTTCAAATTAGGCACACAAGAAATGAAAGAACTAATGATTTTGATAAAAATTAAGACTTTCGTCCGATATGTCACGTATTTCAATGGAGACGTTCTTTAAATACGTGTTTGCATTTTTGCAAAGGATAAATGAATTAATCACTATCCTAGGTAATGGAGCGCCGAAGGCGCGACCATAGCGAGTTTCTTTGCCCGAAGGGCAAACAAACTCGCTAGTAAGAGATATTATAGCCTTTTCTCAATTCAGCATGACCCCCATTCAGCATGGAGCCCTCGCATCCCCGCATCCTCCGTCTCGCCCCGCATTTCTCCACTCGTTCGCGCGTGGCACAAGGGAGAAATCGGACGGGAAGAGAGAAAGGGGAAAAATGCACGCAGATGCCACATGGTCCGTCTCGGAGTTCCTTCAGCGGTTCCTTCTCTGCCAGCCCCAGGTGAGTCAGGTGGCATTTTCTAAAACTAAATTCGCCTGTTAATTTTTTATCCTGAAAATTTTTTAGGTAATTTTTTTCTTACAAATATACCCTTCATTCATTATTTCCGGAAGTTTTTTTTTTTACCATCAAATTCATCATCAATAGGGCGGCTGGTACGCCGATCTTTCTCGGAATCGATCCCGATCGTTCCGAGCCTTTTTTCCTCTTTTTTTTTTATACGCTACGATAAACCAGGACAAAACGCAGATGAGGAAACCGACCCACTTCTCTTCGAGGAAGCGGACGCGGAAACGTTTTACTTTCAGGATCCACGAAAGAAACGACAAAAAAGGCAATGCAAGGGGAAATGTTATTTTCGTTGCTTCGTGTTATTTCTCGGGTATATCCTACAAATTATATCTATCATATACCATTTTCTGTATACGTATTAGTAACCTCTCGGCCCCACCACTTCGGTTTCCTCGATCGAGCCGCTTGCAGCACCGACTTTCCTAATTCGAAGATTTTCCTTGAAAAACCCCCCCTTTCCGCACCTTTTTCGGCTCTCTACACTTTCCTAAACGGCAACGAGCCGTTTCCTCTTTTCGCAACGGAAAGAGCCATCGGCTCACGAAACGGTCGAACACGTGTCACTCTTTCCTCCAGATGGTTCCTCCCGGCCTCGCTCGTGCGAGAGGACGCGACCGAGCAGCGAAGCGCGGATTACAATATATAAGCCTCGTCTCCCTTCTCGTCCCTTCTCACACCTTCTCGTCTCACCCCTCGTCCGACGTGGCTCTTGGAGAAAGGCGATCGTCTTCGCCGTCGCCGCAACCCGACGGCGTCCGTCTCGCTCCGACGAGCATTAAATGGAGGCGGCGCTTTAAATGGAGCTTTAAACCTCGTTTAACTCCGCTGAAGGAGCTTTAAACCTCCTTTAAGCTGAAGTCGGTTTCATGTAATCCATCCTGGGTCCTCAACCTCAGCGTAACCTTATTGCAACCTTCAATCCATTGTAACGTTTCTGAGGAAAACGGAAAAAAAACGTGAAAGAAAGATAAAATTTTTTCCAAGTCGAAAGCGGAAGAATTTAATTATGCAAATTCTTCACTTCCAGAAGAATCACAAATAAAGATTGCAATATGTGTACATGGAATATGTACGAACGAGAATTGCATAATTTGCTCATAAGAGATATTATAGCCTTTTTTCAATTCAGTATGACGCCAGACCGTAAAGCACATCGTACTTGAATGCCCCCTTTGATCCTACAAGATCCATTTAAAAAACATTCACAAGGCTGCTACTAGGGCAGTCGAATGGATATCTAAACTTGATATTACTCTTCATTTCTTGCTATCCACCAAAGCCATACGAATTAGAATTCAGTAGTGCTTCGCACGGGAATATTTGTTGGAATGTTGGCTTCAGGATAACCTATCACTCAATCTTTGATTGACTCAGAGATTGCGTGTTAAAGTACATCTCTCAGCTAGTTGATCTATGACACTTCAATCACAACTACAATTACAACACATATAGCACTTCAATCATGCAATGAAATTTCGGTTCCAAAATTCAATAAATAGAATCAAGTTGCAATCAACAGCGCACGGCACATTACTTCAGATGGGTGAACAGTCTTGAGATCACTGGAGGCGTCGAGCCTGTGCTTCTGGAGACGGCCAGCACCAATAGATCGAGGACAGGAACTGAACCCTCATCGTTGGGCAGCCAGGCGCAGGATTCTGCTTTCCGCCCCGGATTCTACACCGATTGTGACGACATTCCTCACTCGTTTGGGACATTTCCCGCTCCAGATGTGCTTGTTAGGTGAGATATAGCGAGGGACAAAACTGTTGTAATGTTCGACACATTGCCAGTTTATGTCTCATATCTCGAGTATGACGTGTTCAATTTAGCTTGAAATTCAGTCAATCATACTCCTACTTCCTGGCTTTCGATTGGCGCTAGTCACATGTCAATTGGCCTCCTATTGTCCAAGTGGCAGTTGTTCAAAGCGAACGAGGTCATTGCAACGGTTTTGTCCCTTTCACTCAGGCATACGAAAAAACGAATTTATTATTACTTCGTGTGCTTGCCTTTGGCCTTCAACGCTGCCTGAACTCTCCTTGGAATGCTTTCGATCAAATCCAAGCATGTTTGGACTGGAATGGCGACACACTCAGTCTCGACGCGCTGGGAGAGCTAATGGATGCCGTAGGACTCATTCTCGTACCTCGCCAGCCTCCGCTTCAAATGTTGCCACAAGTGCTCTATTGGGTTGAGGTCTGGCGACTGTGCTGGCCATTCTAGGACCTCGATTCCATGGTCCTGGAACCATTTGCGAGCCAGACGCGA